ATGATGATTTTTGAAATCAGCTTTTTGTTGTCTATCCATATTTTTTCTATCAATCTTATCTCCTTCTGAGTCTGTAGGATGTGTGTAACCATCCAAGACTATAACCCATAAATCACTATCATGACCTAGAAAGAAACTTTTTAGTCTATCTTTCCAATAATCAAATCTTCTCCATCAAACACTGGAGGTCTGGTGTAGTTATTGTTGTTTTGTTCATTTGCCATTGTGTTTTCTTTTGGATCTTTTCCTGACACAGTTAAATGTTGAACTCAGAGTCAAGCTCTGATACCAATTGAAGATGGAGAAAACACTTAGAAGGGGGGGGGGGGGGGTGAATAAGTTTCACTTTTTCTTTTTCTTAAAGGCTTAACAATAAAGGAAAGACAAGGTTATTTTTATCCTGATTTGTTTGAACTTAAACTACTCCAGTCCACCCGCCAAGGTGATTTCGCCTTTCTCAACAAGGACTTAATCCACTATAATCAACTGATTACAATCACACAACAACTGTTGTGACTAACAATGCACAAGTAATCTTACAAGTGACTCACACCACTAAGACTTAAACTAGTCCTAGTCTACTTGAGAAATCTGACCAAACTTGGTCTCTCAAGGAACAATTACAAGAGATAAATCTTTACAGATAGTGAAACAAAGTTTGCTTTTAAGAAAGCTATATCACAACTGTGATTTTTCACTAAGAATAATATTGCACAAAGTGTATGAATAATGTTTGTGAGCCCAGAATTTTTCACGTTGTTCTTGCTTCTTTTGAAATTGTTGAGTTCTATTCAGAACTTCAGTTGTTCAGCCTTTCAGTGTTTCTGGTTCAGTTCGGTTGTTGGCTTGCAATTAATGTTCTTCTATATATAGCATGAAGAAACATGACCGTTGATGCCTTCAAATGGAGAGCATTAAATGTTTGCGTGTTTCTTTGCACTATTCCATTTTCCAATGCACTAGCGTAGACACTTGAGTGCATGTAGCCGTCTTTGCATTAAATGAGCAAACAACACTTGTAAGAGCATGTCTCCTGATCCTTGACAAGACTTGTTAGCTTTTTCATTCTTTCAGAACTTGCTTCACGTCTTGAATTCAGAACATGTTTGCTTACCTTCTAAACAACGCTTTGCTTGCTAAGTACTTTTGATTAGCGCTTACTTTCAAATAACTTCTGAACAGCACTTACTTTCAAGGTACTTCTGAACAAGGAATCCTGCTAAGCGTTAGAAGATGCATTTAAATAATTATATTACCAGAGTCAGCATCAGCATTAGCATCAACACTTGCGCTAAAACAAATGGTTCTTTCATCAAAGAACATCTTCATTTATTTTCAGCTCAGCACATCAAGATGCTTCTGTCAGAACATTATCTGAAACAATTATGTTCATCAGAGTATCAAATATATAAAATATAATTTATTGTTATCATCAAAACTCTGAGATATGATCAGAACTAATCTTGTTCTAACACTCACCACTTTTGTAATATTGTAGCCTACTAGGTGCTCTCTCTCTCTCTCTCTCTCTCTCTCTCTCTCTCTCTATCTCTCTCTCTCTCTCTCTCTCTCTCTCTCTCTCTCTCTCTCTCTCTCTCTCTCTCTCTCTCTCTCTCTCTCTCTCTCTCTCTCTCTCTCTCTCTCTCTCTCTCTCTCTCTCTCTCTCTCTCTCTCTCTCTCTCTCTCTCTCTCTCTCTCTCTCTCTCTCTCTCTCTCTCTCTCTCTTATTGGTTGTTCCTTGTGTTGTTGCTTTTCTTGTTGTCGTTACTCATTTCGTAATGTATGATCATGGTTTCCAGTATTACTCACCTTTGTTTTTATATCTGATTATTTATAAGAATCCTCCGTGTCACTACCATCGTTACCCCAATCAAGAGTAATTTCTTTTTCTTTTTCTGAATTTACGTTCCAATTCTATTTTTCTCCTTCAAATATTACATCCCTACTTACTGTGACTTTCTTTAATATTGGATCGTACAACTAATAAGCCTTTGATTCGTGACTCACTCCAATTAAGATACGTTTACGACTTCTATCATCAAGTTTAGTTCTCCTATGCTCGGGTATATGTACGTGTGCAATGGATCCAAACACCTTAAAATAGTTAACTCTAGGTTTTAGTCCACTCTATCTTTCTCCGGGTACCATTTCCTTTACTACTTTGGTAAGACTTATGTTAATCACATGATTTGTCCACTTCGCAGCTTTTGCCCATGAGGTATTTGGCATCTCTTTCTAAGTAAGCAACGCACCATATTCATAATTGTTCGATTTCTTCATTCGGCTACCCCGTTTGATTTCATTCTCTAGGAAGAATTGATTGAACTTGTTTGAGGTGAATTCTCTTTCCCCTTCTGTTTGTAAACAACATATATGTTTTTGAGCTTCTTTCTCAACCAGATTCTTGAAGCGTTTGAATATCTCCAACGTTTCACCTTTTCCACAAGAAAATAAATCCAAGTTTTGCGAGAGTAGTCATCTACAAACATTAGAAAATATCTCTTACAACTGAGAGATTTGAGTGATTGGACCATACAGACCTGCATGCACAAATTCAAGTTTTTTTGTTGTTTTCCAATTACTTTTCTTTGGTATTTTGTCTTGGTGTTGCTTGCCAATATTACACACTTCACAAACCCCTGCAGTTTTCTTGAACTTTGGTATGCCCCTCACCATTTGTTTCTTATGCATAGCAACAATGAACTTATGATTTACATGTACATACCTTATATGCCATAGATTCTCCAAGTTCTCCTCCTCAGCCTTTCAGCATTTCCGTGGTAGCGGTTTTAGTGTAGCATGATCACAAACATCCGATTCAGAGTCATGTTGTTAGAATTTTCTCTCTTTGAAGATGATAAATTTTGCATACACCTTCTTTTATTATTATTATTATCATGCGTCTTTCTTGAAGTTGGCCTATACTTAACAAATTGTTGGTTAAGTCAGGTACAAAGTAAACATCACTCACAGTTAGAATGATTACATCCACTTCAAACATGACACTTCCTTTTCCCATTACAAGCATTCTTGAGTTGTTTCTCAATCTAACAGTTGAAATTTTCATCTAGTTCTACAAACCACTTTTTATTTCCCGTCATGTGATTTGAGCAACCAGAATCAAGAAACCATATCTCTTTGTCTTTAATATCTTGAACTTCGACATGATCCATTAGGAGTAACTCATCTTCCTTGTCAAACTCAACATAATTTGCTTCTTTTTCTAGACTTGGACATTCAAACCGATAACATAATAGTACTCCTATTTACAAATGGTTTTTCTTTTCTTTGTCCCCTAACATAACTGCTACCTCCTCTTTGAAAATTGTTTCTCCCTCTCCCACGTCCATAACGCGTGTCATACTCAACTTGCAGAACTTGTTCTTCACTTCGTTTCTCTCTTACCTTTTGCCCATGAACAAGTAGCGAACTTTGTAGCCCATCCACGGGTAGGAGATCAATGTCCTTAAACTCTTCAATTGAGCATACAACAAAGTTGAAATTTTCTGACAAACAGATCTAAGTATCTTCTCAACGATTTTCATATTGTTCATATTATCTCTGCAATTACTCGTGTCATTTATTGTTTCCATCACTCTTCCAAAATAATAATTCACCAATTCACCTGTCTTCATCTCTAAGGTTTTGCATGTTTGTCGAAGCCTCTGCAGCTGCACACGTTTTTCCCTAATACTTAGCTTTCATGGATTCCCACAATTGTTTCCTTCTGGGTAATAGTTTTTTAAGATGGATTTGTCAATGGCTTGAAATAAAGAGTTCTTAAGTTTTTCTTCATCTAATGTCTTTCGTTGTGGTGCAATTATCTCTTCATTCTCCTTTGGTTCTTTTATCCAAATTCAATAACACTCTAGTACTCCTTTGATCGAAGTAGATTCTCCATGATCAAACTCCAATGATCATAGTCTCCATCAAATTTGGGCACACTTAGTGTGGTGAAATTGTTCGATTCAACAATTTCACGTCTTTCAGTCACTCTAGTGTTTTTCCTCTCAAACACTCTTGTTTACTCACTATAACAGGCTCAATGACGAAGCTCTGATACCAAATGAAGTAGTGATAATTTTAATAATATTAGACTTACTTATTATTACATAATGAAAATATAGTAATGATCATAGTCTCCATCAAATTTGGGCACACTTAGTGTGGTGAAATTGTTCGATTCAACAATTTCACGTCTTTCAGTCACTCTAGTGTTTTTCCTCTCAAACACTCTTGTTTACTCACTATAACAGGCTCAATGACGAAGCTCTGATACCAAATGAAGTAGTGATAATTTTAATAATATTAGACTTACTTATTATTACATAATGAAAATATAGTAATGATTTTATATAAACCTTATAATTTGAATAAAAATCTCAAATAATAATAAAGAATAACAAACTATAATAATCAATGACAGTTATTCAACTTTTTCTATTATTATCTAAATTTCTATTCAATCTCTAAGGCTTATATAAAACCATTATATTCTCATTTTTATAATAACAAGTTATTTCACTTGATTAATATTATTAAAGTTTAATATTGTGAGTAAACAATATTATTAAAGTTATTACTACTTCATTTGGTATAGAGCTTTATCATGATAATGTGAGTAAACAAGAGGATTTGAAAGGAAAAACACTAGAGTGACTCAAAGACGTGAAATGGCTAAATCAAGCAATTTCACAACACCAAGTGTGCCCAAATTTGATAGAGCCTATGATCATTGAAATTTGTTTATAGATAATCTTCTTCAAATAAAGGACCAAGTCTTAGTAATATACCAACAAAGAGGGTTTGAACCACTTGGAGCCAAAATCAATCTCCGAATCAATTTAAGTGATCCAGTAGACTGGATAATGGTGGTGAAAAAATATAAGATGTGAAAAAATATAAGTGCAACATTATTTGAAATGTATAATAGAGCAACAGAACAACCGTAAAGAGGATACGAATATATATAATGTCAACGAGGGCAGATTATAACATTGATGACGACTCACAACATTTTACCTAACCAGCCCAATATGAACATTTTACCTCAAACTGCAATCTGCTTTCATTCAACATATGCACAAGAATCATACATCATTCCATTAACCACAAGCCGTATATTCTCTTGCAAACTGGGCAGACACCCTTTTAAGGGTAACTTTATTGACTTACATACAGTACCATCACACTGTTCTTTGTTGCCTAAAATTTGGAAACCTATTTTCCAATACAGACAAACAAACATATGCTACTTTTAAACCATATATGGATGAAAAAAAATGACATCATGTGAGTAAATGAGGTCCATTTAGCTTCTTCAAAAAGCTTCACTCCTTAATAAAGAAACAGTAGAATTTCTAAAAAGAATGTGGACAATATTTCCACTTTGTTACATAACAAATGAAACCAGTATTTTGAAGCATCAGAATAAAAGGGAATCTGATCCACACACTTCAACTAAACAAACATAAGTTCTCAACTACAGCAAGAATCCGGGATCAAAACCCTAACCACCTTAAGGAAATCAAATTCACTGCAGTCAAGAATTCCACGCATTCACGCGCATTTGGCGTATTCTCGCTCGTTGGATCGAGATCAAAAACATGATCCTTTATTAAACTACTTCACAAAAACTAAATGAAAACTCACTAACAAAAAGTAACAGGTAAAAATATAAGGCTAAAGAGAAACTTTACTATTTGGGGAAACAGTTTAGTAAATCAGAAAAAAGAAACACAGCCATTAAAGAATAACAATATTTCTCAGAAAGGACAATCCAATCTAGCAATAACTTAGTTTAAAATGGATAAATTTAAAATCAAGAACATTCATGAAACAATACAGAAAAGGTAAAAAAAGAAAAATAAATCCCTAACAACTTCATTACATAGCATCAAAACACTATGCATTCAGATCAATAAATACATAAATCTAATATTAGATTCATCCATTTTCTCCTTCATATCAATATCATCAGGCCTAGTGGTGAAAGCTCGGGTCTCAGAGTGTGATCCTCTCAAGGTCTCAGATTCGAGACCGAATTGCTTATACAAAAAAAGAACTCATCAGAAACAATGAAGAGAGGGGAAAGTGAACGCTGGATGCAGAGGTTTATCGACCGATTCTTGCTTTGTGAAACAATTACACAACCAAATTCAGGAACAGATCGATGAACCGCTGCCTCCAGTGACTTCACCTCATCTCTATTCCATAAAGAACCAAAAATAACTTAGATCTGAAAAACTGCAAAATCGATCGTAGATCTGAAGCATAAAAATAGAACAAGAAAAATAATTAACCTAACGAATAAAAGAAAATATTCGAAAATAAACGAAAGCTATGAAGAAAATATAAAGAGACGTGTGTGAGCGAGAAAGGGAATATATACGTGAGTATTTTGATGTGAACCAGGAATCTATGGAGTCGCCATTGCCGAAAGTGTGAATCGGCTATTTTCTCTCTCTCTCTCTCTATGACTAAGTAACAGAGCCACGGGGTGACTTTTGAAAGGATAATCATTCTACAATTTCTTTGTTTGTTTTTATACTAGTTGTAGAATTACTAATGCATCCCTACTTTACATTACTCAAATTAAACCTTTCAATGAATCCGGACAAACAAATAAATTTTAATTTATATTCCAATCTAGAAAAATTACACTACCGTCCTTTAATTATAAGACTTTTTGAGTTTTTTTTCATGATTTTCTTCAATTTTTTTAGATATATTAACTAACTTTTTCAAATATATTTTTAATTATATTATTATTATTCTGATATCTCTAATAAATATTGTGTACAACCATTAATTATTTCTCTCTTAATAATATGATTTTCAAATTATATAAAAAATTTAATTGATATACACAATAATCGCCGTTAGATTTTTATAAATGATTGTATTTTACCTTACTTACATTTAAGATATTATATAGGAATGATTACATTGACGATATATATCAATTAATTTCTTATATAAATACTTAATAAATTTAATAATTTAACTAATTTTTTTAATTTGCATATTTTACTCTATAAAATCTTATATGTAAAGACAGCAGAAAGTATATTGTGATACGGTGGGAGAACTGAGTTTGTTGTTTTGCGTGTGATCGTAAATGTTGTGGTTAACAACAGTCGTCACCGACTTTTCTTTTATCCAAAAGGAAAAGCTGAAAAGAACAGGAAAGATCTTTGAGATGTTTTCTTGAGTTCGGGGGTAGATTATGAAAAGGGGAGGTATTAGCACCCTTTTCATCCATGGTTTTCCATGGGCTCTTAGTTACTTGCTAGATTACTTGTTTTTGTTTGAAAATATGTTTTGTGTGGTTTTTGAAAGTATTTTGTAAAGATGCCATCGTTTAGGAAAACTTTGTAATAATTCTCGTTCGTAAGAATGTATACAAAGTGTTGATCTTTTGAAAATATTTTCAAGTTTGAAAGTGTTGGTGTTTGTTTTGAAAATAGCAATGATGTTTTGGTTTTGAAATTGAGCAAGCAACTACGAGTAATCTACCTACTCAAAAGTCTTTCATGTTTATTTCCTCTTTCCTTTGACATTGTTATCTTACCATTAATTTGGTAAGTAACCCTATCTTTGGATGTAAAAGGGATCGGCAAGGGTCATCGTATAACCATGATTAGCAACGTTGTAAGATATCTTAGCATTGTCTTTAGGGACTAAGATCATTTTGAAAGGCAACTTTGATAGCGTCATCGAGGGACTATGATCTTGTATTTTATTTGTTTTTGCTAAGATACCTCACATGCATAATATGACCATTTTTGTAAGGCAACAAAGTGGGTTTACCCTAAGGGTGTAAGTGTGCAAGTGTATTGGTTTACATGCTTGATTTGTCTTGATTAGGATTTTCTATTTGTTGGTTTTAATCTTTCTATACAAACCCTAATTACTAGCATTTATATAAAGCGATAAATTGCAGAAAGTAAATATTATACGCTATTATATCATTTGGGGATATACAAATTTACAAATGGGGATTTTGCAAGAAATTAAATCTAAATAATTATTACAACCATATTGAATATTGTATAAAAAATTGAATAAATAAAAATATAAGAATGTAAATGTAAAAAGAAATGTGATTTTTGTTTGGTTCTCATGAAAATGTTTTTTTACCTAATTAATTAAAATAAAATAATTAACTAAAAATAAGAAAATTAAGATTAAGCTAGTAAGATAAATTAATTTACAGAAAATAAGTTTTTTAGGGTTTTTGTGGATTTAATTGATAAATAAAATTAATCAAATAAAAGTCCTAAGTTCTAAATTGATTTTAATTTATAAGAAAAATATAATAATATAATGATTAGAACTAATTATCTAAGTATTTAAAAAAGGAAATTAATTTATTAAAAGAAATGTTTTTTTTGTTCTTTTAGTTTTATGAAGAAAAGTAAGCTAAATAAATATAAATAATAAAATATAAATATTTTTGGATTTTTTATTATTATTAATAATAATAATATTAATATTAATAATAATAAAAGATGAAAATAAAAAAAAATAAAAAAAATAAAGTCAGGGAGGTTAGAAAGTGAAACATGGAGTATTGTTAAGAAAAAAAGTCAGGCCCGTGGGGTGGAGGCCCAAGCGCTTCCTGAAACAAAAAAAATGACAAAAAATGTGAAAAATGCAAAAGGCAGCGCGCTGGATGTTGAACCCACGCCCTCTTGGTTACCAGCGCGCTGACTTACCACTGGGGTGACTATACATCTGTTAACTTAACTAAAATGATAAATATATAATACAAAATGAGTCATGAATACACTTCATCTTCAACCTCCAGCCAAAGGACCTGTAACTTCATCATTTCTCAACCATTCATAAAACTTCCAACATCAAACTTGTTAGAAATTTTCTCACGATTCTGAATATATAAATAACTTAAGCTAATTCTCAAAAATGAGCATGAATTTCTAATGGTACCAAATCCTGACCTAAATATTTTCAGTGGTTCAGATTCAAAATTCTAACTACTCAAGCAACAATAATGAAATCTAAGGACATGGTTAGCTTCAGGACAATGATATATACATTTATTATTCACAAATAAACCATTAATGGTGCGTGTATGAAGAGTTCAAAAGTCAGAAAACTCACCTTGCAAGAGGGTATCGTGTTTTGAGTTTGAGCAGCTTTTGATGAGTTCCAGTGATTGGGTTAGCTTCCTCAAGTTCCCAGGAAGCTAATGTGATGCTTGGCTTGATCTGAAAGGGGCTTAGGAGTTCTGGAGAAGTCCACTTGCAGAGCTCTGTTTTTGAAAATGGAACTTGATGATGGAGATGTTACAGTTATGAAACAGGGTCAGGGATGAGTTGTATTTGATGTTTAGAAGCTTTAGGAACTAAAAGGCTTGAAAACACACGAGGGAGATGTGAGTTTCAAGTTTTTGGTCAGAATGTGCAACAATGGTGATTTTTGATTCAGTTCTGAGTTCTTGTGTGTTTTAGGGCCTTGTGTATGCGTGTGTTTTCTTGCCAGCAACTTGTGTATATGTATGGAAAAGGTTTGGATACTCGAGGTGGTCAGAAGTACAAGATCACATATTTTGGCTTCTTGGCTTGTTTTTGAAGTAAGGTTGACAAACATGGTTTTAATGCATAGTACAAATCTATCTAGAGTGGTTACCAACTTTAAAAATGCTTATCTGACTTTGTAGAGGAAGTTTGTACAGAAGGAACAAGTGCAAAGCTCAATGCAAGTTGACTTTGCATAAAGCTTGCTTTATGTAAATGACAATGGTGCCTTTGTGCCATTAATGAAAAATTATCTTGGATGAAGCTTGAATTAAATGGATAATAGCTCAAAAGCAAGTGTGATCTTCTGATTAGGGAGAGATCTTGGGGTTTAGAGGCCTGCAAAGAAAGATTGTGCAGCATAGGCTTGAGATTTGAATTCTTGTTCATCACAAATTTTGCCTTGTAAAATAACTTGAAACCCCAACTTCTGGCCTTCGATTCTCCTTGCTCATAAATGATCTCAAGGAGTTCTTGGACATTTCGGAAAACTTGTAATGTTATATACAACCCCTCTTTGAATCACTTTTGCAAAATCCAAATGGAACTATGTGAAACTTGGGTCAGAAGTTAGGTTAAAATTCTGACCAAAAATGTTTAAAATTTCACTAAGTGTTTTAGTTTCATGACCATGACTTCATGGATTAATAACTTGAGATCCAAGAATTTCTAGGAGAAGTTGTGTAAATCAATGTTTTATATATCATGGAGATCTACAA